AGTTCAGTGACATTACGACTTGACATGGTATGAGCAGCGACATTTGGGATACATTCTAGACTGGGTTCATTGGGCTATGGTGGCTGATCCTCCCTATCTCCCTCTTCCCCCCTTCGTCTCTTGTACCTCTTTCTGAGTGATGATGTATGCTGTCAGGTTCTGTCATTGTCCATGATGAGTCAGATTGTGGTATCACAGTCTTCTGCTGTGCTATTTTTGTATTGTCTCTGAGAGGTCGGTTCCTGGTTCTGATTGATGTCGATTAGGCACGCGACCCCCCCCGCGACACAAACACAGATATCAACTTACCCAGAAGAAAAAAAAATCATTATTTTCCCAGACAAGCATCCAGGCCGGAGGGAATTCGGTTTCAGACCAATCTGGGCCTTAGTTTGCATCGAAATCTGGACGGCTGAGGGTGGTAGCATCTGGGGCCCAGACCCCGAGTCAACGCTACATAAGCACTGACTTTCCTGACTTTGAGATTTATTCTGTCTTACGTCAATGCTGTCTTCACGCGTTGACGACGACTCTGGCTCGACGCTGCGAAGCTGGCTGAGCACTGGCTCTGTGCTGGCATTGTGTCTACGGCAACGTGCTGCTGGTCCGGCATGGTGGCTGGCTTGCACCTGTCTTCTTGGCATGCTGACGTGGAAGCTGCCATGCGCTGTCGCTGACGTGGCTGCTGCCACGTGTACTACTGGTGGCTGATGTGAGAGCTGCCACGTATACCACTGGTTGACGAGGCAAAGCTATGTGATTTGTGTTGCTGTTCTGATTATTGTCATTCAGGAGGAGATCAAGACTGTGGAGAGATCGTGGATACTTACCTGGATGTCTTCATGTCGACATTGCTCCATCGCTGATGAGGGACTGACTAGAAGTGCCACGTGGCACATTGAGGTTACTTCAGATACTCGTTCAGATCATTGATTATTGAGGTGGTGATTGTGGAGGGAGCCCGAAGAAGCAGTGGGCATTGTTCTATCTTCCCCACTAAGTCTTTTCTCCCTCTCATCTACCTCGTCTGTGTATGTCTTCTTTTCTCTTGGGTATCTGGAAACGAATACGATTATTGATAATCATCAGCTGGTTGACACTCATCTGGACTTGCATTGTTGACGACTGTTTTCACGATCTGGGTTCATTGCACGCGACTTACATTATGGACATCGTGGTGATAGTCACCTGTGTTGTACACATTTTCACGATCTGGGTTCATTGCACGCGACTTACATTATGGACATCGTGGTGATAGTCACCTGTGTTGTACACACTAAGTACAGTGAATAGTTATTGGATAATGGTGGTAATAGTCACCTGTGTTAAGCACTCAACATACAGTATAGTAATTAATGGATAATGCACAAATGAGCTGAAGTTGACAGGTTGACCAGAAGGGTGATGAGTGAAGTTGCGAGGTTCTTCTGTATTCTACTCCAGCTTTCCGGTTTTCAATTATTACTGTGATTCTTGCATGTTGTCTATGGTGCTGAGTCATATGCATATGTTGAGATTCATCTGTCGTGAAAAGTTGGTCATGGATCAGCTTCCGGTTTAACTTTGACAATGGATGATGTTAAAAGTTCGAGCTGGAAATTTAAGATTGATTCCCTAGACTCCCTACCGAAGAGTCAGACTGGGTACGGCAACACTAATATTGTCAATTTCTATCCTTCCTTTCTGGGGTGCAAAAGTAACTTGCTGGATGTGTGGGTTTCTGGATAGCACATTACCTGTCTCGACTCTTGTCTCTGAACCATCAAGGCGGTCAAGTTTGAACCCTGGCTGTGTTGAAGTGCCACAGACATCACACACCTGTGGCCATGGTACGGAGGATCACATGATGCTTTGCACATGGAAAATGTGGGGCCAAGAAGCAGGGGGGTTGGGGGGGGTGTGGGGTTATCATGGGAAACATTGGGATTTGCTTTCATGTAAAGTTGGGGGCAGCAGGAGATGTCAAGGCAGGTCATATGATGCTTTGCATCAAAAGTGCAAGGGGAGGGGAGCAGCAAAGGTTTTCAAATTATTAATACATGGACTAGGGGGGATGGGGATTGCTGAGTGGGGTCATATTCATCCTTGCTTGGGGAAACGAGCAGGCTGGGAGGAGCAGGAGGGGAGGAAGTATGGAAATGGTTCGCCGAAGGTTCCACACTCGAGATTGGTGAGAATGGAGATTGTCAAGGGGAGTCGTAATGCATGGAATAGGTAGCCAGGAAACAATTGGGGAGAGAGTATGGTGGGGTTTTGGGCGGGGGTGGGGTTAGCATGGGAGGCATCGGAATTTGCTTTCATGTAAAGTTGGGGGCAGCAGGAGATGTCAAGGGAGGTCATATGATGCTTTGCATGAAAAGGGCGAGGGGAGGGGAGAAGCAAGGGTTTTCAAATGATTTACACATGGACTAGGGGGGATGGGGATTGCTGAGGGAGGTCATATTCATCTTTGCTTGGGGAAAGAACCAGGGTGGGAGGAGGGGGAGGGCAGGAAGTATGGAAACGGTTTGCTGAAGGGTCCGCACTTGAAATTGGGGGGAATGGAGATTGTGAAGGGGGGTCACAATGCATGGAAAAAGTAGCCAGGAAACAAGTGGGGGGGGAGAATGGAGGCAGGTTGCCTGACACTTTGCTTACAACCTGGGAGAGATTCGAGGGGATTATATCATCTTGTGCAGGGGAAGAGGAAGTGAGCAGAAGCGAGAGAGTCTGGAGGTGGGTGCTTGATGCTTTGCACGAAGTTGGGTGGAGGGGATTGACCAGGGGGTCACATCATCCCAAGCACGGCAAAAAGGAGGGGTCTGGAGAGGATGGAGTATGTAGGGAAATTGCTTGATGATTTGTGCACAAACTTTGCATATTTTTTTGCACATGAACAGCGGAGGGGAGTGTGAAAGGGTGGCATGATACTTCGCATGTGAAAGGGGTGGAGGGTGGGGAGTGTGGGGAAGTTGGAGAGTTGAAGCGGCACTGGTGCGTGGTAACCTTTCCCTCTGAGTTCTTGCAGAGCCACATACCCGAGATGGGGAGTGTAAGAGGCTGGGATGATACTTTGCATGTGAAAGAGATAGAGGGTGGGGAGTGTGGGGAAGTCGGATCACCCTCTCTGCAGCACCTGCTATCCCCGTGAGCCTGCCTTTCTAGGAACAAAGACTTAGTTTTAGATACTTCAGAATGGTAGGATTTTTAGGTGTACATACTACACAGTAGGCTCGATTTTTTGCTCCTTTTGCAGTCTAGGTCCTAGAAGGAGATCAATTTTCCAATGATTATGCATTTCAGATTTCTATTTCGGGGCTCCTTCCCCAGGGAGATTTTTTATGATTAAGTAAGCAAAAAGACGTTCTTTTTTACTTTTTAAAGATTTTGAAGATTTTCCTTACTGTAAAATAGGATAGGAGGACAGGCCTCATAATCTTTCAGTGTTCACTGGGCGGGACTGGGTACTCTAGTTAGTCTCCTGCCGCCCGTCGGTGGCCCTTTTGGACTATGACTCCTTTTGTTCTCTGTTTCCTGTCTCATTTTCATGCTTGCCAGTGATAAGTAACTGGACTGGTCCCCCCCAGAATATTAAGGGGCTGTGTTTAAAAAAAAAAAAAAAAAAGAGAAAAAAAAGACACTGGTGCGGGGCAGCTCATGCAGAATCCACGAATGCACAGTCTGTGCCACCATTGGGTACTAAAATTCTATGGAACATTTTCATATCATGGGGTGGCGGTGGCCAGCAGTCCTGTTCTTTTTCAGAATTTTCGTCCTTTTTCTTTCTTATGGAAAAATAGAACTCCAACAAGCATGTCATGTTTTGTTTTGCAGGTTGGAGACCTGGATGTTGTTGACACAGATGAAGATACTGATGCGGTGGCTTTGACTTCTGGATGGGTAAATCTGTTTTACCATTTCCCTGCTCCCGCGCGCTTCCCAGCCTACATGAAACCATCAAAATGCAACGCAAAGAAAATTTAAACAAAGCACATGGAAAAGTGAAGTAAGAGCCTTGGCAAGATATTAGAATCAAGAGATGAAAGGGAACTAGTAAAAACGAATCAACAGGGTATCTTAGGGGTAGCTTTAGATTTCACGAACAACCTATACACATTGCAGTCTCTCCGATGGGAAGAAGGTAAGAGTTAATGGACCCAGGATCAAATTCCTGAAACACCTAACCACAAGCATAAGACCAGAAGCCGCAGCCTACTTGGAGAAGGAGATAACCAAAGCAGAAATCCACAAGGCGCTGGACTCTGTGAAACTCAACTAAGTATCAGGTAAGGACAGACTATCAAGGGAATTCTGGCAAGAATACTGGTCAGTCTTCGGGAATGGTCCACTTAAGCTGTACCAAGCGGCATTCAAGGCAGGCAGCTTATGGGAAGATCTCATCACAGACATTGTGACCCTCCTATATAAAAATGGGAAAAGAGAGGTTATCAGGAACAGATCAATTTCACTACTACCAGAAGCATACAAAGTTTTAGTGAAAACACTAGCCAACACAATTGCAAACAGACGTGCTTTCACATGGACCAAAAAGGTTTCATACGAGGTAGATGCATTTTGCACAAGGTAGTTTGCCTAAACGAGACAACAAAACTTTAATCAAGAAAAAAATACAAGCAGCCATACTGTAATGAACCCAGTCTGGCAGATACTCAGAAGTCGTCAAATATCAGTAGTCTCATTATCTGCATCAAAGTCTCCAAATCGTGAAGTGATAACTCAAACAGTATCTCATTACCATCACAAGAAGAGAGTGGAGGGGGAATAGACAAAGGAGAAGATGAAAAATCACACAGTAATAATCCCTTCAGACCTCTCCCCTTCTCCGGGCTTCTTCCCTCTCCACATCAACAATGATAATAAGTATATTCCTGATCACACACAATAGTGCCATGTGGCACTTTATCTCGTGAAGACCCTGAAGACCTAGCAGATTCCAGTGACGACGTCAACCTCAGGTGAGTACCCGACCTCCTTCATCCACAGATCCCGATCTCCTCACAACCAGTCACCTCATGTAGACAGCGTGGACAATGCCACATCAACAGTCGAGACAGGTGGCATATGCCACATCAGCAATGGAGACCAGTGGCTGCACCACATCAGCATGCACTATAAACCAGAGGCAAAGCCACTTCAGCATGCAATGTAGACCAGAGGTAGCACCACATCAGCATGCAATGTAGACCAGAGGTAGCGCCACATTAGCATGCAATGTAGACCAGAGGTAGCGCCACATCAGCATGCAATGTAGACCAGAGGTAGCGCCACATCAGCATGCAATGTAGACAAGAGGTAGCGCCACATCAGCATGCAATGTAGACCAGAGGTAGCGCCACATCAGCATGCAATGTAGACCAGAGGTAGCGCCACATCAGCATGCAATGTAGACCGGAGGTAGTGCCACATCAGCATGCAATGTAGACCAGAGGTAGCGCCACGTCAGCATGCAATGTAGACCAGTGGTAGCGCCACGTCAGCATGCCACCTCAGCAAGCCTGGCACACAATGCAGAAAGCGCCAGCATGCTGCCTCCACCTYGWGCAGTTGTCYGCATCGCCAATGCACAGCCAGCGTCGAGCCAGCATAATGCCAGCGTCTAGTCAAAGTCGAGCCAGCGTCAAAGTAGCATAGCAAGACTGAATGCTTGACTCACTCAAGGCCAGCCTTAAGTAGCAATGGTCAAGGCTGTCCGGCCTCGGGTTCTTTTCCCACAGTCGTCCAGATTGACTCACAGCTGAGGGCCCAGATTGTGCAGTTGCAGACTTCTCCCTTGGACCTATTGCTGTCTGGGTACCTGCATACAAACAAGTGTGTGTGCTTGACCAATGGCCTGGGCTAGGTACCTTCGGACTTTGACTGTTGGGATCCCGACAGTTGACCAAAGTCAACTGCCGCACGTCCAGGCCCTGAGTCCTCGTGTGGGGTCTTTTGCCCCTGTTTCGGCCTGGGCTGAGGGCTGCCGAGTTGGCCCTCAGTTTTTCCACGAGACATATGGCATGGGTTATTGCATTCCTGCCGGCTCAGTTTTCGAGTTCCATCGCAGAAAATATATCATTCTCAGTTAACCCACGTTCATATGCAGCAACAATATCAGGAGCGGTAGGCAGGAGTTATTTCCTACTAAACCATCTGGCTTCAGATGGAGGTCGGGACTTGAACGTTACCTTGTACTACTTCTGAGGTTGTTGTTACGGACTCCGCCAGGGCTCGATCCCTGGTCTATCTTTTTGCTGTTTCCGCTGTATCCCGTTTTCAGCCTGGCACCCTTTTTCCAAACCCCTCCTTTGGTGCCATAGGATTTTGGACAACTGGCGCCGTGCTGCAATTGGGGCGCCACTTTCAAATACCACATTTGTCAGTGTGCCCTCGGGGCCTTTTCAGAAATGCCCCTGGTACCGTACGTGTCACTGGTACTTATACCGGCTCCCAGTACGGTACGGGGACCAGTCTCGTACCAGTTTTCTGCTGCTGTATTCGTACTCAGTGTGACTTGCCGTTTCAGCATTCGGAATCCAAGACTTCCTCTTTGTGCCTTGCCACTGTGTCTGCGTCCGACCCTCAGTCCGAGTCAGTCATGTCGAGTGAGTGAGTGTGTATGTGCTCTCACTCTCTCCCTCTCTCTCTTTCTCCTCTCCCTCGGCTCACGCTCAGCCTCACGCCCGTCACACTGGCATCGGAGCGGTTCGAACCCGCCCGACCCACCCTGCTTCGTCGCCATCACCTGGCCATCATCAACATCATCGTCGTGATCGTCGTCGCAGTGCCACGTCATCGTCGCGATCGTCGCCATCGTGCCACATCATCATCGCGATCGTCGTCGTCGTGCCACGTCATCATCGTCACCGTCACCATCACGGCGCCCGTCGTCCTCGTCGCCGCGCCGTGCCATCCTCGTCATCGTCGTTGTTACTCCGTGTAGATAAGTAATCGATGACAATTTATTTTATTTTATTTTTCTTTAATTCTTTTCTTCTTCTTCCTCTTCTCTTCTTCTTCTTTTACTTCCTCCCTGCGCCCGCGATTGCAATCCCGTCGCCCTTCCCCCCC